CTATTGGATTAACCCCTGCTACTCCGCTACACTGGGTGCCTTGTCACCTCCCTAATCTCCCATCCAAGTAGCTCCCTGTTTGGTAGTTCTGGAACCAAGATCTAACTCGATAAAGTTTGACAGGACCACAGCACTCCCGCAATCATAGTCATAGTTTCATGAAGAGAATGTATGGACAAGCTCACTCCCGTCAGCCAAGCAGCAAAGAGTGTTTTGCAAACCTGCAATCTGCTGGCGGGTGAAGCTGCCGGCAATATGTTCCATGCCTCCTCTCAATGTCCTCTAAAGGCATCGTGCAATTCAGTCAAAGGCTTCTCAAAGAGAAATCTGTGATTGGCCCTTTTTGCCAGTTTGAAAAAGCATGAATGCAATCTGAACCGGTGAGGGGAGGTATGCAGGGAGACTAAGAGGAAGGGAGAAAAAAAAACTTACAGGGAAACAGGATGGTTCAGAACATTGAAGGAGCGAAGGGAAGCCCAAAACGTCCATTGCCAGCAGGAGATAAAAACTTCTAAAACAAGTTAACATCTGGTTGAAAATGAAATACTTTTTCTTATGACTGCTATGTCAGTCACAGCCAAGGGAGGTTAGGCTATGGCTGCATGGACAGAAATATAACTCCTAAATAGTAGAGAAATGAGCAGTGAGACTGCAGGGACATGATCTATACACCAAAACCGCTTCATTAAGCTAAAATTGTTTTGGTGCCCATAGTATCATTTTAAGTATGATTTGGTTTTATGCATTTTAATAAATCCAGTTGTATCAGCTATTTTTGGATGAAACTTCCATCACCCTAGCACGTTAAGTAGCTATATATGACTATGAAGGACAGAGGTAGGCAACCTTTTAGTAGTACTGTGCCACATGGAGATTTTAAAGTCTCTTGGCGTGCTGGTACTATCTTGGAGGTGTTTATGTTGCCGTATTCTGTCTGTGCTATTTGTGGGTCCTGTAGTTGCTTTGTAGCATTGTATTTGTGTGTATGTGGGCTGTTGTATTGTATAGAATACGTTAATGAGTAGTTGCAATAGCTACTGCGCGTTGCTCTACTCCAGTGGGGCGTTTCGTTCAGCAGTGCTGGGATATAGTGATCTGAGATCACTTCCTCTAAATGCTGCAATATGTAAACTGAGGATTGGTCTTCACCACCTGCAATCACCACTCGGTTTGCACTAAGGACTCCTTAGGCTCTGGTAGCCTTGAGTGCCTACAAAGTCACCCAGAGTGCCATGCATGGCACATGTGCCGTAGGTTACTGACTCCTAATGTAGGATTTGCATTGTTAGGTTACTTATGACAGCATTACACAGCATTGCTCCCCTGCCACTGATTAGCACCCTTCCACAATAATTTTCTTTATTTGCCAGACATAACCTATATCTATAACCTATATATCTTATCCAAACCTCCATCCACCTAACAAATAACCAGTCATAGATACACAATGACACCTTCCACATTCATTCACAGTGACACCCCCCTTCATTCATTCACAGTGACACCCCCTTGCAATCATACACAATGTCCCACTCCACCTCTGCATTCACTGAAAATGGCACACACCCTGCATTCATACACAATGAAAACACCCCTGCATTCATACACAGTGACACACAGCTCAAATACACAACTACATTCACATACAATGACACACAGCTCATCTTATTGTGGTAGACTTGGTCTCTTTTTACATGCAGTAGGGTTGGTAAGGGATGTCTGGGAAGTTAGCTGGGGAGTACAGATATCTGAAGTTATTACAGATTAAGATCAGTGAGTCCCCTAATGCAAATGAATGTGAATTTATACTATGCTGCCATTTGTAGTTCATAGTTCTATTTACCCACACCTTGCAAGTTCAAGTTGGATGCAATTCTCTTATTTCCAATTTAAGATACAACTGCCACATTTGCTCTATATTTCCATCTTTTCCATAATAGCTCGTAGTGGAAATAAAATTGTCACTAGACATACAGGGAAACAATTTGCATTTATATGGCTGTCTGTCCACATGGCTACATAGTGCACTAATTTCTGACTGTGCCGCTATGTATGAAGTAAAGACTGAAGTCCAGAAAAGTCAGGAGAAAGGGACTCACTTCTTCCAGTCTAAGGGCAAGCCAGTTTGACACCCACTTCTTTAATACAAAAAAAAGAATTTTCAAGGACATACCATATTCTAACCCCAAGACACTTGCCCTAACTTTCGCCTAGTCACACACACAAACACACACTTTAAGCAAGTGTGCTCAGCTTCCCATCACTCAGACACTGGGTGATCAGTCTGTCTGATACCAAGCTTGCTTTTGAGAGGCTCACAGTGCATGTGTCTCCAAAGATGGCACTTGAGTAACTCAGTGAACCTGATGCCTGAGAGGGGTTCCACAAAGATTGGGACTCAATAAACTTAATTTAGTGAACTCTACCAGCTGATAGAATTGCATGAAGAATCCTCTCCAGATCCAGACAGTTACTAGATATGAAGAAGGTCTGAACTATTTTAGTGTTTTCTGTCATTAAGATTCTGTAATTAGGCCCATCATAACTGTCAGCACCAGGCCCAATGGGCTCTTAATTCAGCCCTGACCTTTGCTCTTCTATGACATCACAGTTGGTGGAGAGGTAGCAGTACAAATCGAGTTAGAACCTTTTATTTTATTATTTTTTTATGAGGGCAGGACTTTAATACCAAAATGGATAGGGGAAACTATAGCGTTAGGAATAAAACGCTATATTGTACCTTAAAGAGTAAATCAAATGATTATTTTTAATTACACAGAATACTTAATTGGGATAGATTCAATTTGTTCATTCGTTCTGTAATTCTATTTGTCATATAAACATTTTTTTTAAATAAATCTCTCTCAATAAATGCCATTCTACATATATAGAGGGTATTTAAACAACCTACCAAACATGACCCCAATTTGTATTACTGGAAGGTTGTCTAAATCATACTAAAATCATAAATCAAAGGCATCGAGATCTACAATCCAAAGTGTCTCTTCTTCCTATAGCATACACTAGATTCTGTCGGCGAGTTTAGAACAATGTATCAGGAGAATGATGTATACTATGTGTTACTTTAAATTAAAAAGACTCATTCGTATCGCTATGTTATTCACTACTAATCTAACTCAGAACAGCTAGACTTCCCTTAATCTTAATACAATCAAATGGATTAACAACGAAACCATCTAGAGGAGGAAGTAGGAGAAATGCCATGAGAGTAAGAACACGGAAATGTGTCAAATGTGAAGATCTTCCAAAATCGATGTTCTTCATGGAAGAAATGAATGAAGTGTTGAAGTTCTACAACAGAAAGTGCTTCAAAAACTCCCTGATATCAAAGCACATTTAATTGTCTTGTATTTTTCAGAACAGTCTTGTGTATTTTCCATTTGGTTATTTAATAAATCTATCCCTCTTTCTAGATTGTAAATTATTTCAAGAATCCATCGTCTATTTTTGGAAATTACCACAACCCTTGCATGATTGTCCATCTGTATTTTCTCCATACACAAGTAGATTAAACATAATGTCAAAGTGTTAAAGGGACACTGTAGGCATTGTAACTGGTTCATCTCATTGAAAGTGGTTATAGTGTTTGGCGTCACCAGGCGCTGTCCTTTCATTCATTGCTAAACCATTTTTTAATGTTTTAATGCAGCGACCGAGCAGTCCATCCCCTCTGTGCTGCTATTGAGGAAGTCCTTGCCTGAGCAGCAATGGACAGCTCAGAAAAACGAAATAAGAAAATTGTGGCAAGTATTAGTCACGTCTGTCTCTCAACACAAGGAATTACTTTCAAAAGCTCAATGATGCCAGGGGCAATTTTCAAACGTTGCTGGTTATGTATTAATACTAACAATAGTTTGTTACAGTACTTCATAGGACGGAGTGCTTAATGAGCCAGAAGAAATCAAATAGGCATTTTTCATTTATCATTACTGCGAGGATAACAATCATAGCCAACAGCAAATTGTTAAAAGGACTTTCAGTAGTTCAAAGAATTAGCTCAAAATGCAATTATTGTTAGTCGTGGTGTAAAATGTAAAAATGCAATACATATGTATACAAAGTGTATATTTTATACTCAGCTCCATGAATGAGCTTCTCTTTCCCTTTAGATGTAATATAAATCATTTATTGAGTTTGGTTCAACATATTGCATACATATTTCTGTTGTTCGGAGGGTACATATGGCTGCCAACCAGACTACAGAAGGATCGGTGTTTGAAGTTGAATTGGGGGAGGAAAAGGTTGAGGCCTTTGAGGTTGATGCCATGTAGTCTTCCTTGAGGTATCTGTGTCATGTACAGGGAGAACTTAATTTTGCATAGAATGATTGGGTTCAATTTAAGTTGCCAGTATAATTAAGATAACAAGCTTTCTGCCATTTATTGGCACATCTCTTAGTTGGACTGCATAACTCATTTGGGCATATATTTTTCCCTCTGTTGAGTAAACATGTAAATGGGATTTGGTGGAAGTTCAGAATTAATAATGGAAACAGAGAAATATCATCAATGCTTGAGGCTATAATACAATACAAAAAAAAAACCTTTGATAGATCCAAGCTCTTTCACCCCCACTCAATGCATGTGGGAGACCTAGGAACATAATGTGAACTCATCTGGAATCCATGATTAACCAATGGAGTCAGCAAATAGTCTCTATTTTTCTACACCAGGTACGTGGGATCTTGCAAAAACTGGATTGTGGCCAAATGATTGCCCACATCTCCTGGACTTTGATCCATTTCCTGGGCTGTATGGTTTTAATAATTCTGGTCTAGGGGTTTCCCAAGTTCCCTGGCAAAATGATAAAATGACCAGGGGATGCTCAGTCCCTCAGTCTTAATATCCAGACTAAAGATAGTCCTCTAAAAAAAAGAAAACGACTCCCATCGTTAATCCCTTATCTAGGATAATTAGAAAAGAAAATGGAAGCAAGGGGATACACTCAAATAGGGGTTAACCCTTTAGAAACTACCACAATAGTGAAAACAAGAGGGAGGAGACAAGGAGTGCCCCTAAATTAAAATATAGCTTTTAATAGTATAGTTTAAAATAGTATGTGCTATAAATTGAGAAAAAAATTATTTTAAACTATACTATTAAAAGCTATATTTTAATTTAGGGGCACTCCTTGTCTCCTCCCTCTTCTTATCTAGGATAGAACTACAGCATACGGGGTCCTCTAGTCCTAAGAGATAACTCCGCTTCTAAATACATTCCCCATACGAGTTCATGGTCCCCTGGAAACATTTTCTAATATTCCCTATATACCTAATCTCTGGACTCTTTTCTTTTGACCAAATATCTTGGCTTTAAAAAGTCATTATAACCAAAAAACAAATACATGAAAATAAAATCACATATAAAAAAAAGAACAACAAACCTGTATTGGACAACGGTGTCAAATGTAAAATTCCCTCGTTAATCCCCCACAATTCCCACTTTAGTATGTAACCCCCTGAGTGTCAGAGTAGAATCAAGCAGCTGAATTCAAACTGTGCGTGCTGATTGGACAGATTTCAAACCAACTTCTGTCTGGCAGTGGAAAGACAGTGGTAAAGTGCTTTCTACTTAACCTTTATCCGACATTGAATGGGTCTGCTGTATCTTCCACTGTGCTCTCTGTAATCCACCACTTTTATGACAATTATTTACATAATACAAATATGCCCGTAGATAATCCTTCTTTATTTAGAAAATGGGTAACTCAATGGATGCAAATCTGGATTTAAAAGAAAAAAAAATGCAACAGAATAGGACTTAATCCTCAGATGACATGACCTACAACTAGATGACAAATGTGCCAACGTTACTTAGATTAATGAGTCCAGCAGCTAAAAGATTCTCTTTACATAATGGCAATATCTAGAGATTGGAGGCTGTATCCAGATTTTCATCTGTCAAACATTAAGCGCTTTTGCCTTTTAAGTGTGTTTCAGGAAGCTACGATATCCTCTAAATTCCTATTTTGCAATGTCTGAGATTAGCAGATGATGAAGGGTCCGCTCTGCTGTTGTGCTGTTTGGAACAAGATAGAAAAACGAACAATAGGTTAATTTACTATTGAATTTTATAGCTCAAACGTTTATATAATAATAAGCTCTGTATCGTCTATTGCAGCCGTCATCGCTATTTACAATTTATAGATAATACACAGTAACGTGCATTTATCATCATATTTATCCAAAATATAATTGGTGTTGCAATACGATTTGTAAATCATTTAATTTGTAGCCTTGGATTTACACTACAGGTGGTGCATAATGTTTTTAGCCAACAGAACCCATTGCCCAAATTTAGGGACATATTTTAATCCAACACCTGTGACTGATACATAATGCTCTGTGACTCTAGTCCCAAAAGGAGAGATGAGAAAACAAAATTGATTTACCATTTTATTGCCGATAAAGCAAGGTCAATGACAGCAAAAACTAGTGCCTTTTGTGGGCTTTAATATTATTATTATTTTATTATTATTTATATAGCGCCATCAGATTCTGTAGCGCTGTACAATGGGTGGACTAACAGACATGTAATTATAACCAGACAACTGGACGTACAGGAACAGAGAGGTGGAGGGCCCTGCTCAATGAGCTTACATTACATCATAGGTTGGAGGTTATGGATGTCCAAGTGCATTGAAGATGCCAGTAAATGGGACGTGTAATTATTAACCTGTATGTTTCCATGTGAACACTGCAGTGTGTGAGTTTATTTAAGTTAGTTTAAAATGCACATTGCGGTATTGTGAATATGTTTATTTGTTACATCATCAGTTTCGCCAATGTAATTAGTTACAGTGTAATTAGTTACAGTGATTATTAACCTTTTCTTTGGTATAACTGATTAATGAGGAATCGTTTCGTTTTAGCTTGAACATGTATTCAGATTAGAGGTGGTGTTTGTGTTAACAATTCTGTTTATGTTAAACATTTAGAAATATTACTGGGTATTGGTTAAATGGGAGAAAAGTGTTTCATGGCTACTTTTCAAGTCCACTTAGGTGTTGATGGTTCCATTAATGTGTCTAACTCGGCATCTGAAGCTTTGTCAACGCTGAAACTTGAGTGTTTAATGTAATTTGTAAGGCGATTTGTAACTGAACTAAGAATGGGAAAGTGTTGGGTTGTGATTGTTATAACAATGTTAACGGCTCATTAACACTGTCATTAACGTCTCAATAAATATTTAACCATAGAATAGAAGATACCTCTAAGATGCGAGTAGGACAGTAACGAAAATGACACAAAAAATCATATGAAAGTGTCTAGAGAATGTACACACAAACTCCGAAGGGTTTAAAAGACTTTGTGAAGCAAACTTGTTTCCAAGTCACTGAAATGCACAGATGCATGAAATGAGTCCTAGAGTTAGTTCTCCCTAAATATAGGCCTATGATTAAGTACTACTAAAACCTATTGCTAAGTGCTTCTGGGCCACTACATAGATGAAGGTGAAGTTTGCAAAACATATAAATCCTATGACTAAACCATCCCCAAAAAATTATATATTAACGGGTTAATTCATTAAAGTGAGAACTGTCGAGACTCCAAAGTGAATTTCACATTTAAGGCCAAAATAGTCAAACTGGAAAAATTCTCCAAGTCAGCTATGTGTCCGGTTCTTCTATTTTGGTCTTAAATTTGAAATTCACTTTGAATTCAGCTGGAATTCCTGACAATTCTCAGATGTTTTCTCATCTGTGGCTCTGCACCTGCTATTCTATTAGTGCAAGGAATGAGCAATTGGTTTCTACGTTACAGTATAGCTTGTTCGCCACACCATGAGTGTTTCATAAGACAATCCTTTCACATTCATTAGGTAACTTGTGTTTATTAAAAATAAAAATTCCATTCCAAGATTTAGATGATTAAATCGCAAGTAGATTTGTAGATTGTATCAACTAAAATCTAATGGGTTTAGTTAAAGCCTCTATCTGTCTCTTTTGCCTCTTCCCCAGCCCCTCTATGTCTCTTTGTGTACTCCCAGCCCCTCTCTGTCTCTCTCCCAAGCCCTGGTCTGTCTCTTCTGCCCCTTCCCGAGCCCCTCTGTGTCTCTTTGTGTCCTAGCCCCTCTAGGTGTCTCTCTCCCAAGCCCTGGTCTCTCTCTTTTGCCCCTTCCGCAGCCCCTCTTAATTTTGGCGGCAAATTTCAGTTTAGTTTTAGTCATAGTCTTTTGACTAAAAAGCCACTTTAGTTTTAGTCGTATTTTAGTCATCTCAGTTGTTTTTTGTTTCAGTCTAGTTTTAGTCGACTAAATCTCAAAAATTTTAGTCGACTACAATTTGACTAAAATTGTTAGTCGACAAAATTAACACTGTTGGTACTGATTATCTTCAATTTGTATATCACTGTTAGTTATTCACACGCGTCGGACTTAAAAGTGTAACAAACTTATTTATTTTCAAAAGTAGCAATCGCATCTTCCATCAATGTTTTGGCCCACCTGAGCCTTTGCTAACACAAATAGCAATGCACAAAGAGCATCTTAGTAGAGGTGCCCACTAGTGTACCACAAATTTATTTGTAGATTATTAAAAATAACAAACATTTTGGGGGTCCTGTCCCTTTATCAATGCTAAATGGGGGCAATTAGCACTGATAAAGGAACAAGTATCCCAAAACGTTTGCTATTTTTAATGCTCTGCAAATAAATTTGGGCTACACTAGTTAGAATCATAGAAACATAGAATGTGACGGCAGATAAGAACCATTCAGCCCATCTAGTCTGCCCAGTTTTCTAAATACTTTCATTAGTCCCTGGCCTTATCTTATAGTTAGGATAGCCTTATGCCTATCCCACGCATGCTTAAACTCCTTTACTGTGTTAACCTCTACCACTTCAGCTTGAAGGCTATTCCATGCATCCACTACCCTCTCAGTAAAGTAATACTTCCTGATATTATTTTTAAACCTTTGTCCCTCTAATTTAAGACTATGTCCTCTTGTTGTGGTAGTTTTTCTTCTTTTAAATATAGTCTCCTCCTTTACTGTGTTGATTCCCTTTATGTATTTAAATGTTTCTATCATATCCCCCCTGTCTCGTCTTTCTTCCAAGCTATACATATTAAGTTGGCCCCTCTATTAAGCTGCACTTTGTGCATTACTACTTGTGATGACATAGTTTATGCTTGATGATTGAGCTACAGCCGGCTTGGACACAATGGCTGCACTGGATTAAACGTCTTTATAACCACACTTCATTAACCTGTCTTACTATGGGCATTTGTAAAGATCTCGATAAAGCTCCAGATGGGCTGAAACGTTGATCGAAGATGTGATTGCGCCTTTTGAAAATAAGAAGTGTGTTACAATACTAAGCAGTGAATATGCCTAACTAAACAGTGATATATTCTTAATTTCAATCTGTCAACATACAATACTGTACGCCTGGATTCATAACAGAACATCTGTAGCCATGCCATAGACTTATTATTAATTGCCTTCTGTCACCATTCTATATTACACATCTAGATTGTAAGATCATCTTGGCAAGGCCGTCTTGATCTACTGTTCCCCTAGGATTTGTTAGAATGAAATGTTTGTCTTGTTTCGTATTGCCCAGCGCTGCGGAATATGTTGGCGCTATATAATACTTGTAATTGTTGCATTTATTTCCTTGCTTTCTTCAAATTTTTCCCATGCTTTCTCTCATGCACACTATTCCCAAACCTCTGGCGACGGCTCCCCAATGTTCCATTGTCAACTGTAAGACAGGAGCATTGAGCATCAATTGCGTAACAGTAAGTTGTGAAGAGCTGATGTGAGTTGGTGAGTTTCAATATCATAGACTAAACTAGCCAAATAAGCTATTCGTTTTCTCGGCTATTTTGATCTGAATTATCCAACCAAAATATCAACCTACATGAATTGCCTGCAACTCCGTTTGGACCATTATGTATTCATTTCAGAAAAAGGTCTTGCCAAGTAAAACCACAGGGTTGTATTTTACAAAAGCAAAATTGATAAACATGAACATATTGTAACGAAAAAACATTAAACAGTCTAAAATTAACACGAATAGCACTCGTCAAGAAAACGCAACATACAGAAAAATCTAAAACTCAACAACGCAATTTTTGTTTGCGGTCATTTGTGTTCGTGCAGGAAATGTTTGATGGTCAGGAACAGACGGTCGTGTCTTAGAGAATAATTATA